CTTGCATCTCCTCTTTCCTAGCTCCACCACTTCATGATTAGAAATTTTAGTACAAACACATTCAATTCCCTGTCCTTACCCCAACATTCCCTTGATCTTTTGACATTGTAATGCAACTTTCTTGGCATAAATCAACTTGGGTAAAGAAAACAAGCTGATTTCTACTCTCATTAGGCATTACTGCTGAGGAAATCTTCATTCATTTTTATTTTCACAGTAACCAAAAATGTTCCCTCTTTTAAATATCACAAACTCATCACCACTTGTCTCACTTTCAGTTGAAAACTCAATCATTCACATCAGTTGGGAAAATAAGATCATTTAATTTCAATTTTTCTGCCCTATATTTCAAAGTATATATCATGTTTATTCATCTTCTCTTTTTGTTTATACCAGCCATCCAGATTCCTTTTCTTGGCTGTTTCTTTACAGAGGGAGTCTTATTCCTCTTGTGTACAAGGTAATGGTTTTAAGAAATGATTTTTTATCCCCAGATTAAGTGTCACTGGAGCGAGTAATTTGACTTACACAACGAACCTACCATCATGGACTTATCTTTTCATTTTTTCCCAATGTGGCATAAAGCACTAACAACTGCTCCGATTAGCATGAAATTGTGGCCTTTGTGAAGCCCCTGCGTTCCACTCGTTCTCATATAACGTTTCCCCACAGCTGAGATCTTGACGAACCACAAAGTGCTAGAAACCTATGTCTCATAACTTGGCCTCTGAGCCAGAAGGTCACTGTCCTCTAAGGATTGTCTTTAGTTATTAGATAATTGCATTTCCTGGACTGATTTCCTTTACAGATGTGAATTGCTCCCTTGTTAAAATTCTCCTGGGCATTTCTTGGGACAGCTATTAGGCAGAAATTATCTTCTAATAATGTCAATTTCTTGGAATTGAAACTCACTATTGATTTTTTTAAACAATAAAATTAGCATACCATTAAATATAGTATATAAGTAGCCACAAAAGCAGACAGACCATCATTCACTAAGCTCTTTCTTCACTTCTTGTTCTCCACTTTGAGGAAAGGTAAGAATTTAAGATATAAGTTTGATGTGTCCTTTTTTTGCTTTATTTTAAACTTGGTATTTATACATATATGATATATATACATATACATATGAAGAAAATAATTTTTAAAATATAGTATTTGAACAAAAGTATTTATGTAGTGCTGACTTTATTTTAAAAACTTATGTGAAAATAGTAAAAGTGCTTATAAAGATTTGGTAAAAATTATAATGATCACATAAGCTTAATGAGTTCAAGAAAATATAATAATGGTGATTAATATTTTTTTAATACAAGGCTAGTTAAGAGGTTATATTAACAGATCAATTTTCAGGCTCTGACTGGGTAGCTCAGTTGGTTGGAGTGTTGTCCTAATATGCCAAAGTTGACGGTTCTATCCTTGGTTAGGGCACATACAAGAATAAGCAATAAATGCACAAATAAGTGGAAAATCATATCAATGTCTCTCTCTTTTTGAGATCAATAAATTTAAAACAATTAAACACAACTTAAAAATCTCCTTTCTGAATTAAATCACTCTTCCAATTTTATTAAACATACCACAGTCATTAAAGCAAATATATTTAAATTATTGTAAGGGAATAGGAATAATTATTGGGAAAACTTTATTCACCAGGTAGGTATAGAAGTGGCATGTTGAGTCAAGATATTATAGGAATTGTTTGGGAACATATACTACTAGAAATGCTTTTGAATAATTTTTAGAAGAGTGTATTAATCAAACTTGTTTACAACATGCAGCATACCACTTTATTCAATTTATATTTCAAAATAATTTAAAAATAGACATATGAAATACAGAATTTAGTTAAAGAGATACAACATTTTACTTTTAAGAAATTCTAGAATATATACAAATAGCTTGGAATCAAAAACAAAAGAGTGATTTGAAGAAAGCGTACCTGAGAATAAATTAGTCAATAAAGAAATCTGGCTTAAAAAATGGCATATAAAATGCTAATAATAAATTTGGAAAATGTAATGAGATCTTTCATAACCATAATCATCTCTAACACTTTTTTGAAATCTGCCAATAAATTACTTGTAAACTTATGGAGGTCTTAAACAAAGTAAAATTAATACTGCTATTTGCAAGACCATGAATGAATCTTATTATGCTAAGCAAAATAAGACAGAAAAATTCAAGAATTATGTAATTTCACTCACATAAAACTGGACAAACAGGACAAAGTAAAAAACCTTATAGTTACAGACAACACTATGGTGGTTACCACAAGAAAAGAGACATGGGGAGAGGTAGTTAGGGGTAAAGGGAGTCAAACATATGGTGGTTGAAAGAGATTTGACATTAGCTGGTAAGTAAATAATGCAATACACCGATGATATACTATAGAAATGTACACTTGAAACATATAATTTTATTAACCAATGTCAGCACAATAAATTAAATTTAAAAGTAATTGTATACCAACCTTAAGGAAAGGCTAGGAAATATACTTTTGCTTAAAAAGAAAAATATTTCAACATTAAAATATAGAAAATAATATTTTCTGATGAATTAGAAAGCTTTTTTCATGAAATATTTGTAGTTTAGAGATTCAGTTTATAAATCTGTTTATAAATTGAAGATTATTTGTCAACATGTATTGATAGGACAAATAATATTTTTACAAGAAATTATAGAGATGAAACAAAGTCAAGCATTGAATACATTTTGGTAAAAAATGTTAACAAATAGTTTATGTTATGCTACAAGAAGGAGTGGTCTGCAGTAGGGACTGGGCAACAGAATCTGATCCTTTGATAAATCAAGAGATTACAGAAAAAAGAAAAGACATGGTGTATGATATATAAAGTTATATGTCACAAAGGAGAAGAGACATCATTAGGATTATGAGGATGAAGACTGTGTACTGGGTACACATGAAAAATAAAGAAACCATTCAGTCCAAGAAACATCTGTATAAGTGAAGCAAATAATGAAATGCTAAAACAAAAATCCCAGTCTTGCTAGAAATAAGGACATATGATTAAACAAAATATTCCTAGAAAGGTGAAAACAAAATATGTTCTTCTATATATACATTTTCTTTAATCAGTATTTTCCCAACAGATATGAGGATTCATTAGAGCTGAGACCTTAATATTTTGTTCCATTATTTTAAATCAAGACTCCAGACAGCATTGGGTATTTAAGGATGTGAAATAAATATTACTCATTTTGAATAAATGAAGCAATTAATAAAGTTTTATATAAAATTTAAAGCTTCTTTCTATCTTTCGAAAAAACACACAGCATACTGTATTTAAATGAGATAAAAAAGAGTGAGGTAGGGTACAGCTGATAGCTGAAAAAATCTGAATGGTTGGCATTAAATTATAAAATTGATATGTCAGATCAAGTTGCCATTGTAGATTTTGTCTTTGGTGTATAATAAAACTTCTCTTAGTATTTTTTTCTAAAATGCAAATATTTTACATTGTTTTTAGTTTCTTTTTAAAAAAGTAATTCTACCTAAATAAGAGGTTAGACAACTACACTATCATTTCCTCATTTTCCCTTTCACAGGACTTGAGAGCCATGAAGGTCCTCATCCTTGCCTGCCTCGTGGCCCTTGCTCTTGCCTGGGAGGTAAGAAAAAATGCTAAATGATTAACATTAAATGCACATATTAAGCTGAATTTCAACAGATATTTTGTTAATCACTTACTTTCACCCATTATTTCAATAGAGTCCTGTAGGACCATAAATCTTGGTTAAATGTTTTCTACACCACTGGGAAACCAGTTCCTAGAAAACAAACAAACCAATAAGCATCAGCCAAAAGAAGAAGAAACAAATATATAAACAATAAAAAAGAGTCATATTGAAAACATACAATTGCATGTAGTGCAACCTAGATAAACATGTCAGTGATGAAAATGATGTACCTTTTACCCTGGGGCATCAGGCCAAATCCTACCTGTGTCTACTCAAAGAAATCCAGAGGGTGAAGCATAAAACAATAGTCATATTTATAAATATACTTGTAACCATAATGAAAAGTGTTTGATACAAATTCAAATAACTCCCTTTCTGTTACTTGTGAAAAATTGTTCTTCACTCAGGTAAAATAAAATTATACTATTGAAGTTATCAAGTATAAAAGACATAAAACACGATTGCATTTCAAGGATCTCAGAAGACGTACAACATTTTTTTATTTCTTAAGTTTGTGAAGGACATATCTCTGCATAAAGAAGGTGAAAAGTAAGTAGAAAATGAGTTAGCTAAGGAAACTAAATGGTGTTTTGTTTTGTTTTTGTTTTTACAGAAAAAAGAACTCAGTGTATCTAGTGAGGTAAGATTTTATTTATAGAAAAATTTATCAACTATGAATAGTAACATTCTGCCCTGGCTGTTATGGCTCACTTAATTGGAGGGTTGTCCCATACGGCTCACTTAATTGGAGGGTTGTCCCATACACCAAAAGGCTGTGGGTTTAATCCTTGGTTGTGGTGGAAAGGAGGCAAGTTATACATGTCTCTCTCTCTCTCTCTCTCTCTCTCTCTCTCAAATTGAAATATAAAAAAAAAATAAAAAATAATATTCTCTGATGATCCAGTTATTGATTTTGTATTTTTCTTTACAGACTGTAGAAAGCATTTCCAGCAGTGAGGTAAGACAATGTTCCTTTTGTGGCTATTTTCCATTCAGGAAGAATAAATTGCTAGATACTCTTGAAGGAGTGAGGAACAACTCAGGCAGTATAAGGCCTGCAAAATCATTTGGTCTGGCCCTGCCAAGGCATTAGGGGTGAGTTAATGAAATGTTTTACCAAATATAGCAGGCTAATTTTTAAGTTGATAATTTTAAATGGCCCCCAAACGATGATATAAATATCCAAATTGTCCTTGGCAGAAAAAAGGTTCCTCACCCCTGCTTATATTGTGTTACTTTAGGACATTTAAGTCATGGCAGCTAGTTCTGACACATAAATTCTAATGTAAATTTCCATGATGTATTTAAGAACAAAGTAAAATGCCTGCAGAATTCTCTGTTCAAGCACTTTCTGTGCTGGCTGCTACTTGAATTGTCACTGTGCCTCACCCTCTTCTTTAAGAGAACTCCACAGTCCTTTTTTGTGTCTTGAGCTCTCTCCACTCTGACCTCATGTCCTGCTTTGACTGCTTTTTGAGCACCTTCTGTGGATTAAACATTGAGTAGGAGCTGTGCTACAAATTGAAAAGCAGATGCCCATAGGAAAGAATTGCAATATAGGGGTGGGCAGACATGCAAATAGACATATTTTGTCATTACAGGAGTCACTTTAGTAAATAAGAAGCAGTGAGACTTAGTTTTAGTCTTAAGTCTGTCTGGGAGAGTCAGGCAGATATATACACTTGCACCACTGTTGGGGTCTGTCACCTGATAAATGGTACCTGGATTACTTTATGTCTCAGATCCTTAGGGAAAGTATTTTAGTTCTTACAGTTCATTTGAAGACTGCACATAACAAATGAACTAAGAATAATGAACAGAATGTATTGACACTTATAATTTCTTAGTAATGAATTTTATTCTTTTAGAATCAGATGGCGTCTTTTGTGGGTTTTGTATTTTTCATTTGTTGTCATAGGGAGGGAACATAGAGGGAAAACTAGCGTCTACAAAATGCCTCTGGTTGTAATATGTTTGCTAATTTCCTCTTCTTTCTTGACTGCATTCATCTGTCTCTTTTATAGAATAAGCTTGTGTAAAACAGGGAAACATATAAGTTTCAGTAATTATGCTGTATTTTAAATATTATCAAGCAAGATGTCCATATTAACCTTGTAATTTCTTCATTTTCTGTTTCATACTGGCAAAAAAATTTCCATTATAACTTAACCTACTTTTATTTTTATTTTTATGAAGGAATCCATTACCCACATCAACAAGGTAAAGCTATTTATTTTTAAAATTTATTGGAGTGACATTGGTTAATAGGATCATATAGAATTTAAATGTACATTTCTATGATACATGATCAGTATATAGCATTCTGTGCCCATCACCCTAAGTCAAATCATCTTCATTCACCATTTTTGACCCCATTTATCCTTTACCCCCAACCCTCTTCTTTCTGGCAACCACCATACTATTGTGTCTATGAATTTCAGTTGTATATTCCACATAAGGTGTAGATAAAACACTTATATTTAAATATAATATTTTCAAAATGTCCTACATTTAATTACTACAGATCATACTATTTATTTTCAAGTTCTTTGTTTTTTAACAGAAACCTGAGCAGTTTGAAAATGAGAAACAGCAACAAAGAAAGGTAATCTGGTCATGATGCATAGATTTCAAAAATTATTATAAAATATAATCCATACAAAAAGATGTGCATTATTCAGTCCAAAGAATTGTAATAAAATGTAGCCAGAATAAGAAATAAAATATTATAAATATTTTTAAAGATAAAAGTGAATTTTTAAGCTCATAATCCACTTATAGAAAATAGACTAAATACTTAAGAATAATTATTGATTTGCTCACTTTATTCATGGTGCACCTGTTTTCCAGAAATGTACACTATTGGATAGATGTTCAGGTTGGAAACTAATTTCCCTTATTTTCATGATAGATTGGCTTATGAAAGAAATGGGAAGAAAATATGGCACAAATCCGAATCTGATCATTGACTTTCTGTATAACTGTGGCCCCAAGTTTCCCTGCACTTCCATTTCTTCAACTATAAACTGAAAATATTAATAATCCCCTAGGGTTGATGAGCTGGCACACAGTAAATACTCAAGGATTTACTTTAAAATTGTATATTTTATATTAACATTGATGAATACAGTTCATAAAAGACTTTGCATTACACTAAGGGGAGAATTGAGATACAGAACAACTGAGTACACAATTGTCTGACAATATCATACAGTTATTAAGTAGCAGAGCTTGCTTAAAAATTAGGTTTTCTTAGACAACAAAGAATTATTCCATTAAATTACACATGTGGTAACATAGTTATCTAATTATATTATTTCAACTTCTTGCTTTATCAATGGCTACCATTTGTTTGGAACATACACCAAATATTTCTGTAACCAAAAATAAATTTACAAAAAGATGGCTCTTTAAAGACTCACAGTAATGACCATCAGCCAATGAAAGCAGTGCTGGAAGTTAGCTGGTTTTGAGGCACTCCTTCAATTAAAACACAAATTAAGATTTACTTTTCATTAAAACACAGAGAAATAAACTTTGGAAAAATTCCTCTGTTTTTTAAAAAATTATCTTTCATTATATAAAACAATTTGGTTTAATACTATTCCACCACGTTGAGAAGTTCATGCCCTCTGAGTACCAAACTGTACAGCTAGCCACAGTATTGAAAGCTACTCAGAAAGGAGAAACAAGCTTGAAATCCTTAAACACTGATTTCAGTTTGATCTGGGTCACCCTAAAAAGGAGTGGGTTAGTAAGAAACCTTTCAATGAGTATTTAAATGATTTTCACATGAGTTACCAGCATAGGTAAAAGGTTTTCCATCTCTTTCACTCAGGATTCCTCAATAGAGAGGAGGTTAACTCATCATGAATGACAATTATAGCTGAATCATGGACACAAAGATTCTTTTTCTTTTTTTCCAGGATGAACACCAGGACAAAACCCACCCCTTTGTCCAGCCACAGCCTCTTTTCTATCCTTATGCTGAGCCCATGCCTTACCCTATGCTTCCACAAAATATCCTGCCTCTTGCTCAGCCTGCTATGGTGCTGCCTCTCCTTCAGCCTGAAGTGATGGAAATCCCCAATACTAAGGAGACCATCATTCCTAAGCGCAATGTGATGCAATTGCCTAAATCTCCAGTAGTGCCATTTCTTCAGCGCCAGATCCCAAACCTCACTGATCTCAAAGCACAGCTTCCTCTGCCTCTGCTCCAGCCCTGGATGCCCCAGATCCCCCAGCCTCTTCTTCAGACTCCCATGCTTCCCACTCAGCCCCTGGTCTCCCTTCCTCAGTCCAAAGTCCTGCCTCTTTCCCAGCAAGTGCTGACCTACCCCCAGAGAGCAATGCCTGCCCAAGCCCTTGTGCTGAACCAAGAGCTTCTGGTTGACCCTACCCAGGCATTCTACCCTATGATGCAACCTATTGCCCCCATTTACAACTTACAACAAGTAAGTCCTACTTTATTAACTCTGCTGTTTCATTCATGATGTGTATATATGATAGTAGAAGTGAGAGATCCAGAATAAAAGAATAAATGAATATTTAATGGACATCCTAATGCACATAGTTGACATCAGGGATTCTCAACTCTAGTTACACAAATAAATAATCTAGAAATCTTGTTTCCCCCCAAGTACCAATGTCTAAGAATACTCGTAGGTGTTTAGAAAGAATTGTTCTGATTATGTATGTAGAAGATACTGAATATTTAGAAGAAATTAGTTCAGAGATTCTGATTTAATTGATGTCTAGAGAATACAGCTAACGAAGATTGAAATGTACTAAAGACAGTTGAATTTGGGAATTTGAGTGTAGAATAGAGAAGTTCTATTATTTTCTACAGTTTTGAAGTTTCCCTGTGCACATCTATTCTCTACATGCTTTAATGCACATCTTGTTCTAGATGTACATGAGAGGACAAATGAGTGAGATGTCTATTTCATTATTTGCCAAATTTTTATTTATTTTTTTAATTACAATTTTTATCACCATTTATCCTGCCCTCTTACCCTCTTATACCTCCACCCACTCCCACATTGATTGAATTTTTAGAATTGTTCTAGCCAAGAAGTCAATTGTATATTTATATATTTTTCTCTTTTTTAAGGTTTAAGAGGATTTCAAAGTTAATGTTTGCCCCTCATATTTGGTAAGTTCTTACTGTTGGTGATTAGACTGATTGTCTTTATAGTTAACACATTTTTACATACATTGTCCTGAATAAGCCCAAGGTAGTGACAAACTCCATCAACATACAAAATTTATTATTTATTATCAATGTGTCATGTACATTCAAACAGTTGAGTATTATGTACTCACCTGAAATTATGCATCTTATATTTCATTAAATATAATTGCATTATTGACAGATATGTTTTTTAAGTGCCTATGTTCTTATGCTTGATTACCATAATATTCAGATTAACACTGGAAACAATTTCTTCTACTTTTATGTAAATATGTATGACTTTTAAAACAATCTACTTGCATTCTCATTTCTACCTTAGGTTTCTTAAAATTTAATGGTTTTTATTACATTCAAAATTTACATATTGTCTTTTAATTCATTGGTCAAATAAAATTATTGAGTCCCAGTGTGAGGATTAAAAAGGGGAGGGACTCTAACTTTGAGATTCCTGAGATACCAGTTTTTACTTATTATGGTAAACTAGATATCTCTCCAAAACAATTCCAACTCAGATACTCTTTGGTCTTAGAAGACTTTCATATGCAAGACAGGGCACAACATGGTGCATTGGTAATAAAGTTCCTCTAATGAGTTAGTCACCCCAAAATTATAAATGTAGAGACATGTACGATTATATAATAAAACATAACTAATTCTATATTTGTTCTCTATTCCATAGAATTGACTGCGACTGGAAATGTGGCATCTTTTCAATCTTTGTATTCTGCTATCCAAAAAATTAACATTTTTAAATGATTCAACATGCAAAACATGAAAATGTATTTATTTATGTATTATATAACATTCATTTTAATTTGACTCATAACCTCTCTTTTCCATATTTTAATTCAGAAAGTACCACAAATTTCAATTTTGAGTTGGAAATGCCATAACCCTATCAATAATATGTATTCAAATAGTTTCTGTAATTGTACTTATTATTGCTATTTCCTAAACAGTCACTTCAATAAATTAACCCTCTACGCATATTAAGTTATCCTGTCTTTATTATAAGTTTTCAAACATAATTGGTTTCTTTAATGTTAACTTTAGATTATTATTGTTGTAAAAAATAGCCATGGAAGATTGGAATTAAATGGAGAGCTTTGAATTAAGTATTAAGATATATTGAAAAGTAGAGGGAAAAGATAATTATATGCTGGGTTTGCTCTAGAAAGACTTGGTTACCCCCATTGTCACAGTTTAACTATTACACCTGTGCCTTTCACCCTCCAAAGTACACAACATTAGATGTCAGATTCTTTGGTCTCCATAGAAAATAAGTTTCAAATGTGAAATCTGATTCACAGCTCTGCAACATAGCAGCTAAGTTGTGCTTTAAAAGATACTTGATCTTTTAGAGCAGTGATGGCGAACCTATGACACGCGTGTCAGAGGTGACACGCGAACTCATTTTTTTTGGTTGATTTTTCTTTGTTAAATCGCATTTAAATGTATAAAATAAATATCAAAAATATAAATCTTTGTTTTACTATAGTTGCAAATATCAAAAATTTTCTATATGTGACAGGGCACCAGAGTTAAGTTAGGGTTTTTCAAAATGCTGACACGCCGAGCTCAAAAGGTTCGCCATCACTGTTTTAGAGCTTCGATTTCAACATCTATATAAGAGCCAATTCAAAGGGTTTTATTGAAGTTTGAATGTGATTAGTGGACTGCACAGTACCTGATAAGTGTTTCTTGTTGCTCCGTATTGCTGACTTGACTTATATCAGAGCAGCAAGAGCCGGTACCACCATCAGTAAGAGGTGGGTTATGTGATTTTTGGCAGTAATGCCCAAGAACGAAAAACTTACAGAAAGCTCTGAGATGCATTGTCACTGACAGTGGAGTAATTGTTTCATTGTGATGAATTATTCCTCTACCAACTCCTGCACTGCACACTCAGGTCCGTCCACTTGAGTTTACACAATGGTTCATCTCTAGCAATTATTCCCTCTTTGCTGCGTCCTCCACGTTTTCCTAACCTTCAGGATCAAGTGCAAACCAAACATATGTTATTCTTTGATCAACCTGTTCCCATCAAGCTTTTGTCCCTACTGAATCCACTTATTTTTCCAAGATCTCCAACTTTCTTCTTGATAAAATGTTCATGTTAACCATCTTCTCAGTGCTATTTGGTAAACTTGATCATTCTTACTTTTTTGAAATATCAGACTACTCTTCATTTGCAATCCTAAACCTGTTACACCCTTGGTCTCTCCCTTAATTAACTAGCCATTTTGTTGCAGTATCCCTTCTGATATTAAGTTTTCCAAATCGTTTAGGGTTGGAGTACCCTCGAGTTAGCCTTATCTGGCTGGTATTGTTTAGTTTCATTGTTTTAATCCATCCATCATCTGAGAGCATCTAAATGTATATCTTCAAACTTCTGTCCTCATCTCCAAGCTCCTAAATTCCACTGGCCTTCTTGGCCTCCACACCTGAGTATCTAATTAATATTACAAACCCGGCTTGGCCAAACATAACTCTTCATCTGGATTCATTCTCTAACTTGCTTAAATTTAATTGAATATACTTCAATAAAAAAGACAACTGATAGGGTATGGGCAATAGTTTCATTTGAATAGGCACTTCACAAAGGAGAATATCTTATTGGACAATAAACTTATGAAAATATACTAACCCTGCAAATTAAAGCTGTTATATAATATCATGACAAGCATTTGAATGACTAAAATGAACAGCAACAAAAATTAACATATCAAGTGTTTGCAAAAAAAAACTAAAGGAGCCCGGGCAGGTGTTGCGCAGTAGATACAGGTAGGCCTGTGTACCAAAGGGTCACTGGTTTGATTCCAGGTGAAGGGTGTGTTTCTGGATTGCAATTGGCTCCCCACACCTTTTGGAGGGGTGTGCATAAGGCAGCCTGTCCATGTCTCTTTTTCACATCGATATTTCTCTCTCTCTCACACACACACTCTCTCTCTCTCTCCCTCTCTCTCTCTCCCCCTTTCACTTTCTCTGAAAAAGCAATAGAAAAAAAATCCTCAAGCAGGCATAAATAAACAAATAAATAATAAATGCAAACAAAATGAATGCTAAGCCATAATGGTGAAAATGTAAAATGGAACAAATACCTTAGAAACCAGTGTCAGTCTGTGTCTAAGATCAACCTTTGCATATTTCATGACTAGTAGTTCCACTCAGATATATAGCAAATAGAAATAATGTATATGTGCATTAAATATATGTACCCAATGTTCTTAGCAGTATCATTCTTAAGATCTTAAAGTAAAATCAACACTAATATGAATCCAATTTATTTTGTATAAATAAATTGTAATATTCAGTAGAATGGAATCTTATACTGCCACACAAATATGAGTGAGCAACTGCCACACAAACCAATACGGATGAATTTTATATAAATACTAGTGGCCCAGTGCAAAAAATTCATGCACATCAAAAGGGAATTCATTAGAGGAAATATTTTAATATTGCTATTTGCCCTTTCTTTATAATGGAAGTGTCAGAGATGAAAGAAAATTAGTAAAATGTATAATAAAATCTTCCTCCTGTCAGAGTCTGGGGCACACTGTGGGACCCAAAGTCAAGTCCCCGTCCACCCGTGCATGCTTCGAAATTGCACGAGACCCAGACCCAGCTAGCCCCACCCCTGTCAAGCCCCACCAGCTTCAGGTCCCCTGGCCTGGTGCCGGGCAGGGGACATAGCTTCAAGTCCCCCGTCATGCCTTGCCGGGTGGGGGTGGGGGGCGCAGCCCCAGGTCCCCTGGCCAGGGCGAAAAGCACAGCCTAATGTCCCCCAGCCCAGCACCGGAGTCCCCCATCAAGCCAGACTGGGTGGGGGTTGCAGCCACAGGTCCCCGCCACGGCCCGGCACCATGCAACCTCATATCCCTGCTGATCGCACGATATGGGAACCCTGCCTCCACTGTGGGTGTAGCCATCTTGTGATGGCGTGATGCTTAATTTCCACATTACCTCTTTATTATATAAGATTATTGAATGACAGTAACCAGACACAAAATATAACAGAGTTCATGCCCCATAAATAGACTCTATTGGAATCTATACAATATTAATTTCTAGTGAAATAAATTAGACTAGTATCTATCTGAGGGAGTTACGTCTTGATAAGGAACATGAGGAGGTGCTCTCTGGTGCTAGTGATTTTCTTTCTATTAACCTTGTTTATATATTTGCTTTGTAATCATTCCTTTTATGTGAGTTTTTCTAAGTGCCTGTTTGTTGCTTTATAAATTTAAAATGTATGTTACATATAAAACCATGCCAGGCCCACCTGCTTCTTCTTCCCTGTGTGTGGGACTTCACCAATGCAGAATCACCTTTTAGCTTTTGACTTGAATGCAATTCAATCATAGGACATAGGATCTGGTTTCCTCAGGAACTGTGGAATGACTGGATAATGAAATTGCAAAATGCATGGTTTTAGCCTTATGGGGTTGAAATTTGAAAAATAAGAATCAGGATATGGTAGAAAATTTGCATTTGTGGTATATACATAAAATAAAATATAATTCACCTTCTAACATGAGGAATTCTGCCATCTGGAACAACATGGATGGGCCTGAGGATTTTATGCTAATTGAAATAAGTCAGACATAGAAAGAACGATATTTTATGATCTCATTTCTATGTAGAATCTAAAATTGTCATAGATGCTTAGAGTAGAATGGAGCTTGCCAGGGGACACAGTGAGGGGAAAAAAGGGTGGTGATGGTCAGAGGGACAAAGCTTAGCTTGTGCAAGGTAAATGTTCTAGAGACCTACTGTACATAGGTCTCTATAGCTCCTATAGCTAACAATACTGCATCACATACTTATGATTTTCGAAAAGGGTAGATTTTATAATAAACGTTGTTATTATATACATTCACATAATATCATAATAATCAAGGGAGTGGGAGGAAATTTTGGCAAAAGATGGACATGTCTGTGGCCTTAATGGTGGTGATGAACTCCTGGGGTATACTTATCAAATTCTTACCTCAATACTATGTTTCCAAACTTTTATTAAAATTTTTTGCTACTAAGTTTCTGGCAATTGTTGTAGCAACCATAAGTAACTAACACAGGAAATGTGAGATTATTATAATATCATGGGCTTTAGAATGTAAGAAGCTAAATGTTGATTGTTTTCTTACAGTATACTGATGTATAATTTGGAATAAGTAATGCAATTCTGTTTGATATTGCATTCTTTATCTGGATGCAATAGTACCTGATTCAACAAGATGGTGTAAAGATTTAATAATTTAAAAAAAGATTTAATAATTAGTTGTGGGAAAGCCTTTAACCCCTAAGCATAGAAAGTGAACATCATTTTGGTTGCCATGTTTAAGTATTTGTTCTATGTTGGGTATTGATTCTGTAGGTGCCTTATATTTGTTATTGCACCAATTCTTCCAGCAACTCCTGCAGGATATCACCACATAAGGTAAAATGGGGATCACCTAGGTTAAGTTACTTGGCCAGAATCATGTCACCACAAAGGGAAAGAATCCTTTGAGGCATTTGAACATGTATATGCATGTAAGGGTATCTCTTTGAGTGGTGGGGCAATGATAGGATGTTTAAACGCTAACACTTGCATCTAGCCTCTTCCAAAAGAAAACCACAAAGCAAAGTCATTTGTCAAGGCCTAATTTCATGAATAATGACTAACTAACATCTACGTGACCTCTGCCTTTTAAAAACACCTATTTTGGCCCTAGCTGTTTTTGCTCAGTGGATAGAGCATCAGCCTACGGACTGAAGAGTCCTGGGTTCAATTCTGGTCAAGGGCACATGCCCGGTTTGCGGGCTAGATCTCTAGTAGGGAGTCAGCGGATCAGTGATTCTCTCCCATCATTGATGTTTCTATCTCTCTCTCCCTCTCCCTTCCTCTCTGAAATCAATAAAAATATATTAAAAAAATAAAAACATACATACTTTGAAACCATGCTGTACTTGAACTTCTTTATAA